AAAAACACTTTAAAATGAACAAAGATTATGAGCCACATCCCTCCAACCAGGGTTGAAATGGCTGTGCACATTTCAGATGGACACAATAAGGACCAATATTTGACTCAAGGCTCAGTATTTGATTTTATACCTTATGTGAAAAATAAGAAGGATACTTTGAATTTATGTGATAGAGCTCTTTCTTTTTTCCTAAGGAAATAACAGATGTTGCATGCTCTGCTCTTGAAGGCAGTGCTCACTTTTTTTTTTTTTCTTTGTGTCCAACAGAAAGGAGATGGGGCGATAGATAAAGCTGAACTTCGGGAAGCTTGTGACCAGGCCAGCTTGCACTTGGATGAGAAGCTCCTGGACCAGCTATTTGAGTACTGTGATGTGGATAATGATGGGCTGATTAATTACCTAGAATTTGCAAATTTTCTCACCTGGAAAGATAAAACCCCCCTTAAAGAGTATGAAGAGAGGGTCATTATTAAAGGTATTTAATTTTTTGAAGGTCTGCTAAATTCTTAAGTGGACTTTTATATTTTTTAGGAGTTCAACTCTTGTCAAATTTATTATTATATATTTTAAAATATGCACATATATATGCATTTATTTTATTTTATTACACATAGACTATCATGCATAAGGAAAGAATTTTGTAACATTTATTCTTTCCAAGGAGGGGAAACTGGGTTGCTGAGGGACAAGGTGGCAGCAAGAATCACTTTTTAATCTGTTTTTGTAGCAGCAAGATTCAGTTTTTAATCTGTGTTTTTGTATCTTTTGAGTGTGGAACTGTGTATTACTCATTCAAAAGAAAAAAATTAAATGCAAAACAATTTACCTGGAACCAAAAATATGAGAGTTCCTCAGAAAGCTGTTTGAAAGCCATTTTCTCAGAGAAATTAGCTCCCCTCCCCCAGGAAAAGTCAATTTGTAAAATAGAATTTGACGTAAGAAAACTCGATCTTTCAAATTTTTCTAAGAAAAGGAAAAACATCACCTTTACCTTTATTCAAGTATTTTCATGTTATACATTATCTTCCTGAATCACTAACTATACATAGATACACATATATACCTACATGTGTGGGCATGGAAATATTTTAAAATAGCTAAAGTCACAGTGAATGTACCCTTTTTATTTGGCTTTTAAAAATTTAGCTCTCAAATTTCTGTGGAACGAAGAAATACTTTCATGGCTTCTGTAAACTTCATTTTCATTTCCCTCATGCTGATGTATTATGAATTACTAAACTATTTCCTCACTCTTTAAAATTTAGGTTATTTCCAGGTATTTTAAAAGTCATACAGGTGACAATATAATCATTATCATCTCTCAGAAAGCTTTCTGTTTCTAATTATATCTCATCTCCTACGAATGTTATTATTGTCCCAGAAGTAACTCTCTCTCTCTCTGTTCTTTTTGCTTTTTTAAATGATTGTACCAATTGGCAATTTTAGCAGTCAAGGCTGTGAGAAGGTTCTTCTCCAATCTTGCCACCACTGTTATTTCAAACATTCTTGTAATTTAGCTGTTATATAATGATACCTCGTTTGCTTTAATTTTCAAATCTTGATTATTAGAGAGCATTAACTTTTAAAAGGTTGTTTACATTTTTATCTGCTCTTGGAATATCTCTCTTCTGAAAAAGTGAAGATCCTGCTGTGTTCACTTTTATTCCTGCAAAGCTAGTTATCACATTTTGGGCTCTCTGGATGATGCAGCCCTTACCAGGTTCTGGGACGGCCTTTTTTTTTCTGTCCACTAGGAAAGCAGGAGGAGTTTCTCATCCTAATGAAGCTTTTTATAGAAAACAGCTCGATCCTCATCCTCTCACAAAAAAGGAGAGGATGACAGAGGATTCTCCTTCTTGGCACAGCTCATGAGGTAGTGGGGAAAGCAGAAGCCTGCTTTCAAACCAGATGGTTCTTCAAACTGTTCCCAGTTTTGGGGGCCTGACTTCATCAGCCATTTTCCATGGAGTTCCTGAGGTTTTCATCATCTTCTAAGGTAGTGAGTGGCCAGTGGATCAGTCAGAAAGGGTGCAGGGGCGTTCGGCCAGGAATTTTCTTATATGGAATTCCATCTTACTGTTGTTGACATCTGGAGCAAAGGGGGTGAGTCCTTTAAGACAACGGCTTTCGAACAGTTTTCTGAGAAACTGTCTTTCATACTTTGCCCAGAGTTCTGCCCTTTTTGGGGGCGGGCGGGGTGCAGGGAGGGGATCAGAGGATCCGGAACGCCGGGCCTGAGCATTGTCACCACGACGACTGGCGGGAGCTGAGGGAGGCTTGCTGACATCAGACGGCATGTCTTTGCTGGTTGACCACCCTAGTCTGACACTGGGGCACCATTTGCCTTTGCGACCAGAGCTTGGCCTTCCTCGGCACCTTGAGTTCCTCTAGAGCTGGAAAGACCACAGCGCCCTCTAGTGCTAGCTGTGTGCCTACCAGCTCTGTGAAAAAGATGCCAGGAATTTATTCCCTCCTAAACTTGAGAACTGACTCAGCAAAACAAATCTGCAAAAGTGGACAGAATCTTACAATCGTAGTTCCACCTCAGGGTTTCCTTTTATACACTGATTTGAAGGGCGTCATTTACACGATGGATTCCTGCGCTCACAGCGAGTTCTCACCGCCTCTCCAAATGTTGCAATCCACGGGGCTCCCCGCACCAGGATTGGGTATGTGTGGAATTTACAACTCCAGAGATACCTTCTCTTATCCCTCCCCAGGGCACAGTCCTGGAACAACTCTGGTAATCCTGTAGTTCAAGTGAAACGTGAAAATAAGCTTTAATTTTAAAAAGGAGGAAATAAAAAAAAATAGATTCTCTGTTTTCATTTGGTCTTTCAGATTCAGAAGCTTTATTCCAGACTGAAGTGAACCAAGTGGTGAACAGAAACATCAGACCTTGTTCAGATTTCCTGGTGTACGACATTGTCCGTTGTCCTGAACTTGGGTTTCCACAGTGGGTGCTGGTGTCAGCGGAGGGTTCATACCAGTCCAGCCTCCGTTTCCACCAGCAAGGAGAGACTAGGTGGGAAAACTCGTCTTGTTACAGGGCAGCGAGCATCAGGTAGTAACTTCTTCCTATATATATATTTTCCCCTTTCCCTCTGCTTAAAGGTAGAAAGTCAGATTGTGCAAACCCTGCTGAGGCTAATGCAGAAGAATCTGAACCAGCTCTCCTTATAAAACCTGAAGATATTGTCTTCAGAGAACCAGGGAGCTCAGAAAAGACTGTCCGGACACTTCTGAGGCCAAGCGATAAAGTTTCTAATCACTACAAGACAACCT